AAACTCTTTTCCCAGTATTACCACTATAGAATTATTTTAAATACATCATTTTCTGGTCATACTTTTGCTAAATATAACATAAAAGATGTCCTTCTTATGTGATTTGTATCATATGAGAAAAAATACCTTTTGATGGTTGTCAAATTGCTTTTTGGAGGCTAGAGAGAGTACAGTCTCTCTAGCTGTACAAATCAATAGTTTGTAGCTTGGAGCATATACCCAGAGAGCCATAGGATAATACCAAAATTCCAATTAGAAAATTTGTATATTTTAAGTATTTTAAAAATTATAGAACTATGTTAAAATATGTTCTTTTAAAAGAATTAGGTTATTAGAGATAGAATCCCTGTTATGCTCTGTTTTAGATTTGGAGTATATTCTTCCAGATTTTTTTATACTTTCTCATATATATATATATGTGCAGATTTTTTTCTGTATTAAATATGGAGTATTGCTTTATATGAATCTTTATAATATTTGTTTTTTTTCTTCTTGTAGTAATGTTCATGGGTACATATAAACATAATGTTTAAGCTACTTTTGATTATTATACTTTATGAAGTTATACATATTCTTTAGCTATATCTTAGTCAATGGTTATTAGATTGTTTCTGCATTTTTTTCAATAGGAAACAATGTCAGAATGACACCTCTGTTTATACATCTTACTATGTGCACAAACAAGGTTCTTTAAGGTCTTTACACAGAAATGAAGGTCATACAGAAATGAAAGTCAAAAGGTCTGAAAGAATATTGCCAAATTGACCTCTAAAATAGTTGTGCCACTGTATCCTCATACCAGTGAAATATGAAAGTGTCAGACTTTTAAATTTTTGTCATTGTGTTGTTGGTAATAATATCTCTTTAAATTTCATTTACCTGATTTCTAATGAATTTTTTCCATGTTATTAGACTTTTGAAATTCTTACCCTGTAAAGTTTGTATTCATATCGTAAATATTATGTATATATGTATATTAATGCATACAGTATACATAATTTTCATGTCTTGAATATTTTCTGAATCCTCAATCTTTATGTATTTAATTTTTTTTTCTCAATCGGTCTTTTTTTGCATGATATATCTTTTTCCATTCCCTTACTTTTACCTTATTCTTATCTTTGAATCTAAAGAGTTTCTGTTTTATGTAATTGGATCATGAGGGATTTTTAATTCATTTTTCTCCATCAGATTGTTTAGTCAATTTCACAATAATTACTTAAAAGTAGGATTTACATCTAGCATTTTTTTTTTTTTTTTGCAGTTTTTGGCCGGGGCTGGGTTTGAACCCACCACCTCTGGCATATGGGGCCGTGCCCTACTCCTTTGAGCCACAGGCGCCACCCTACATCTAGCATTTTATATTAGTTTTTTGTATGTCTGTTTACCTTTTCTGTTCTTTTTTGCCTTCTTTCATGCAAAATAAATATTGTCTAGTTTATATCATCTATATTTTCCAGTAATCCCATTGTTGTTCTTTAATGATATTTTCCTTAGTTATTTTCCAAATGAGGTTATAATTAACAATTTAAAACAATCTAGTTCCAGTTAATACCACCTTAAATTTAACAGCATGCAAAAATTTTGTTTTAATATACCTTTCTTTCTTCCTCGCTCATCTGTATAGTTATAGTTATACAAATTACATCTGTATGTTATAAATGTATTGCTTATTACATGTTTTATACATTTATATATTTATATATAATGCTACATGTATCATTCTTATAAATCAGAAGAAAAGAGTACAATCAGAAATAATGTGTTTTTGTCTTTTTTATTTACCTACATAGTTACTTTGCTGGTGTCCTTTATTTCACTGTGTGGATTTAAGTTACTATAGAGTGTCCTTTCATTTCAACCTGAAGAATTATCTATAGAATTTTATATAGAAAAGGTCTGCTAGCAAGAAATTATTGAATTTTTGTTTACCTGGAGATAATTTAATTTTCCTTAGTTTTCAAAGGACGGTTTTGCTGATATAGAATTCTTCTTTGAAAACAATTTTTTTAGCACTTTTTAAAGCACTATTAATATGGTAATACTTTTCTTTAGCAGTTTGAATGTATTGTCCCACTGCCTTCATGTCTCCAGGGCTTCTGATGGGAAATCAGGTGCTGCTCTTATTGAGGATCCCCTATTCATGTTACATGTTAAGTTACTATTCTCTTGCTGCTTTCAACATTCTCTTTGCCTATCACTTTGGCCAGTTTGACTATAATGTGTTTTAATATTTTTGAGTTTATCTTAGAGTTTACTGAGCATCTTGGAGGTGCAGATTAATATTTTTCATTAAACCTAGAAAATTTTCGGTCATTAAAGATGCTTCTTGACTTATGATGAGGTTATATCCCAATAAACCCATCACAAGTTTAAAAATTCTATAATCAAATTTTCATTTAAGACTTCCTCTAAACCCATTATTAAGTAAAAATGGTTAGGTCTCACCATTATTAAGTCGGAGATCATCTGTATTTCATTAAATATTTATTCTGCCCTTTCCTTATTTTCTAGTTCATATTTGTTGTTGAGACCTCCCAGTGAATTTTTTATTTCAGTTATTGCACTTCTCACCTATGGAATTTCTATCTGGATTTCATTATAATTCACATCTCTAGATATTCTCTGGTGAAACACCTTTTTCACACCCTTGCATATTGTCCTTTAATTCCTTTCCTTCAGTTCTTTGAATGTGTTTATAATAGCACACTTAAAATCTTTGACTCAGGCTGCGCCTGTGGCTCAATGGGTAGGGCACC